AAATATTTCATATTTACAACATTAGACGCCGTAGTTGCATATTCAATAATTGTGCAGGGAATCTGACACCACATGTGTTATTTATTATTTATCCCCTTGTTTCGTAATACATTAACAATGCACGTCACACATTTTTTCTCTTCTCGAAATCCATAAACATTGTTACCTACCGGCTCCTTTATTAAAAGCGGTCTAGTAAATCACTAACGACCGCTTAACAGGCCTACAAATAGATACCGACCTGTTATTGTTCTATTGTTCTCTATACAAGAAAATATGTGAAACTCGTGCATTTAAGATTAAGCATTACATAATAATCCCCGTATACGTATATCCAATGACTCTGAAATGTTGAAATAATGCAGGAATTATTCAAAAAATAACTCTGAATTGTGCAAATATGGGTGGGGGAATAGGACCAATATATAAAAATTAAAGTACATGTTCATCAAATTAAAAGAAATGAATCAGCGCATACGGCTGGTAGGACATCATATTCTACCTCTCATATGATAGTTTTTGCTTTAAGAAAACCGACCTGACTATCGTTCTTGAGGAAAAGTTTGTGTTTTGCCGATATAACGCACATAAAGACCTTCTTTATAGTTTTCTTTTCGGTATAAACACATTTTACCGAACTATTGAGCTTTATATAATACTAGTTTTCGGCATTTATTTCCACAATTCTGTCAGGTTTTGTTGCACAATCCTGTGTTATTTTAACAATTTTGCATTATGGGATATAAACGATCTTATCAAACATATGAAAAAGGGGGAATGATTCTTATAGAGAATACACCAAAAGAAAAATACATGAAAAAAATAATAACAACAAAAAATACCTAAACAAACAAACTTACAAGACAGTTTAACTACATGTATTATTAGTATTTATTTATATTCACAAAAGCCTGTCACTTACTTTCCTTTGAACATAATCGTACATTTTATATCTAAATTAGGCGGATCATATATTTACCATGAAATTCATTATATATCAAGATAAAGTATTCTACGTCAATACATTTTGTATATTATTTATATGTATACGTATTATATATACATATTACAAAATAATAATCTTACCTTTACCCTCTTTATATCAATGACTTGAAACTCTCACAGGTACTTTTAACTGGCCTTATTACATAATGAAACCCCACGAAAAAACGAGAATATTCAAATAACACCCGATTGGTGCACTTATGAATTACAAGAGTGTAGCGGTTGGTATATTTGAATGGCTTCGGAATGCATTCTTATACATGATAAAGTACATAAATGAAAGGATTCTTGTGATTTATATTGATAGATATTGAGTTATAAACTGATGTTTGGATAGAAACACAAAAAAGCATGTAGGTAAGATAGTTACCGCACTCGGAATAGGTCTGCATAGTATTTACAGACCCGGTGGCCTTTTAAAAACCTCGATCGCTACGCTCTCTCGGTCTTCAAATTGCCACCCGGGTCTGTAAATACTATGCAGACCTATTCCTCGTACGGTAACTATTACATCGGTATATTTAAAAGTTACATAAATTACCATTTTAATAAGCTATATCATGATATTTAAACGTCCCGGTTGAATGAACAAACGTTCGCGTGCCAATCTGTTTGACACTTGCCGCCTGACCAATCCAGTTATTTAAAGGAAGTGTACAATACAAATTGTGTAATATTATGTAATACAGGGGTAATAAAATTTTATCTTTAACACCCTGCTGTTTTAATTTAAATTACTGATGGAAAAGTCGTCTAATGATACCTTAAACAAACCCATGTGTGTGCCCGTTTTGACCATTGAATTATTTCTCCCGCACATTTTCGTAGATCGGTTAAAAAATAAATTCACGTTGTCAGTACTTACCGCCTTAAGTCATCCCAAAATTAATATTTTTGGGTGACACAACATGAAATCGCATCTATTAAAGCCTTAAAGTATGATAAACTGTAGACATCGTTATTGCGTTTTGCCCTACGCAGAATGCGCATGCGCGAAATGCAACATTCGTTGCTATGAAAAATCGTATTGTAAAAAGGTCTATAAGACAGTGGTGACAAGCTCGTTATGGTTAATTACATTAATTGTATCCCGATTAACATGCCAATGTGAAAACCCAGCTTGAAGCTTTTCAATGCACCCCCCCCCCCCCCCCCTGTTCATCTCAGCCTTGCTTAGATAATTTCGTATCCGTAGATCTGCCATTTTGACATGTAATTCAGTTAAAGATTGACAAAAGATTAAATGGAAATTTGCTAAATTTAAAAATGCACATGCAAGTTTCAGGCCATGTTAAGTTTCTTTCTCGGGCTTCCTGTATATAGAATACGTGTCGAAATCTCACAGATTTGTAAGATTTGGTCCTTCGGGATCATTGATGCCAACACTATAAAGTGTTGAGAATTGAGTACCGCTCAAGCCGGTGCTAGGGGGCGTGAGTGATGTTGCACTTATTCATTATCACTCATGTACAGACTCAATCAAACCGAGTCTGCAATTCTTATGTTATTTTGTTGTGATTAATGCTTCCGAGGGATCACTTTGTTTCCAGAATTTTGTATTTCACAACAGCAGGTGTCAAGTGCCGTGTGGCAGCCGTAAAAAGTTGCCCCGTACTTCACTTCAGTGTTGTTATATTTTCTGGTCCTTCGGGATCATTGATGCCAACACTATAAAGTGTTGAGAATTGAGTACCTCTCTGCTAGGGGGCGTGAGTGATGTTGCACTTATTCATTATCCTTCATGTATAGACTCAAACAAACCGAGTCTGCAATTTTCAGGTTATTTTGTTGTGATTAATGCTTCCGAGGGATCACTTTGTTTCCAGAATTTTGTATTTCACAACAGCAGGTGTCAAGTGCCGTGTGGCAGCCGTAAAAAGTTGCCCCGTACTTCACTTCAGTGTTGTTATATTTTCTGGTCCTTCGGGATCATTGATGCCAACACTATAAAGTGTTGAGAATTGAGTACCGCTCAAGCCGGTGCTAGGGGGCGTGAGTGATGTTGCACTTATTCATTATCACTCATGTACAGACTCAATCAAACCGAGTCTGCAATTCTTATGTTATTTTGTTGTGATTAATGCTTCCGAGGGATCACTTTGTTTCCAGAATTTTGTATTTCACAACAGCAGGTGTCAAGTGCCGTGTGGCAGCCGTAAAAAGTTGCCCCGTACTTCACTTCAGTGTTGTTATATTTTCTGGTCCTTCGGGATCATTGATGCCAACACTATAAAGTGTTGAGAATTGAGTACCGCTCAAGCCGGTGCTAGGGGGCGTGAGTGATGTTGCACTTATTCATTATCACTCATGTACAGACTCAATCAAACCGAGTCTGCAATTCTTATGTTATTTTGTTGTGATTAATGCTTCCGAGGGATCACTTTGTTTCCCAGAATTTTGTATTTCACAACAGCAGGTGTCAAGTGCCGTGTGGCAGCCGTAAAAAGTTGCCCCGTACTTCACTTCAGTGTTGTTATATTTTCTGGTCCTTCGGGATCATTGATGCCAACACTATAAAGTGTTGAGAATTGAGTACCGCTCAAGCCGGTGCTAGGGGGCGTGAGTGATGTTGCACTTATTCATTATCACTCATGTACAGACTCAATCAAACCGAGTCTGCAATTCTTATGTTATTTTGTTGTGATTAATGCTTCCGAGGGATCACTTTGTTTCCAGAATTTCGTATATGGATTTATCTATGACAACAATCTGATTTTGAATTGTAATCAGATAAACAAAATACCTAATTAGAAACAAATCCTTTGCAAACTTTAAGTTTTATATATCTGTTGGCATTGGCTGAAGAGACTGTTGTATTTTTACTCTGAAACTTTACTTACCAATTGAATGATTATTGCAGAAAATAGGGTTCTTATGTACAGCGAAACAAACAATTTTATCTTTTTCGACCAGACAATAGACACTTGATATGCAATTTAGTATATCAATGCATTATTTAAAAAAATTCAAATCTTTACTTTTTTAGGTGTAATTTTGATTAGATCATTTATTTACTTTAATGTATCTGCGACATGATTAAGTATATTTATCCGGCTATCTATGTTAGTTTACCATTTTATGTTGCATTTTGTTTGAGTCAGTGCCAGTGGCGTGGATTGTAGCTTTCGTGTCCAGTACCAGGAAGCAATCAGATAAACAGACTCAATCAAACCGAACTTGCAACATTTTTAGTTTTGATCGCTTAGGAATTCTTTATTTTTCTCTATTCTAGGTATATGACAGTTAAGTTAGCGACGCGGGAACATTGGAGAATTTCGAGAAGTTACGAAAATCGCTAATATTTTCTCTAACGTAAATATTAATTAACCTGTCATTAAAATCTACTCTTGCATGATTCTCTAATATTTCCTCACGCAAAATGTCTGGAATTTAAAATTCAATCCAAACCTATTTAGATATAGAATCATAACTAATTAAAGGAAATATTTGTTGTGTTAAACCAATATTTGTCAAGGAGCACATTCAATAAAGAACCAGACAAGGGTTTCGATTAGAACATCACTAATTCCTAATCTAGTAAGCAAGATTAATTTCATATATAATCTCATTTTGCTTCATAGTTACAATCATTTTGGACTTGGAGATAAAATGACGATATGTTAAAATAAATATAGATACGTTAACTTGTGTACAATATATATTTCCATGCAGGATATCATCTGTTATATTTTGTTGTGTAGTTTTCGACCTTAAAAGTTTAAAATGTGAGTCAAATAAATTGTATTGCTTTTGTAAAATAATGATGAAAATAAAATAAATTAGCCGTAAGAAATGTTGCTAAGGACCTGAAATAATACATAGTGATTTTGCAAAAGTATATCAAGCTGTTCAAGGTGTCTTAACAAATAATTGCCAAATAATTTAAGTTCAAAATATAAGTCATTTTAGTCACGCACCTGTGATCTTGTTGCTCTTCTTTTTCATTGCTTAATTCTATATAAAACAAAAGATTAAAAGAAAATAAAAGGTGTGTTTTTAGATATACGTATTGAAAGAAATTGATATGCATAAAACGTACACACAGAGATAATAAACCTGTTGTTATTAAACAGAAAATATCTACGGACTTAAGCACAAAAATGTAAGCATGTTGAAAAATATATAAAGACACTATTTTAAGAATTATTCAATATTTTTACCTTTTTTATTGTAATATCGATATTTTTATTCCAACTACTGTTTCACATGTATTTTTCGTGTTTATTCAAATAAATAAATGGAATAATAGGTAAACTAATAATAATAATAATAATAATAATAATAATAATAATAATAATAATAGTAATAATAATAATAATAAGAAATGTTTTATTATTAGCACTTGGATGCGATTGAACATAAACCTGAAAAAACTATATAAATTTTTTTTTAAGTGCAGTTTATAAAATCAAGTATAAATTGAATAAACTTTAAATTATAATTAAATGAAACTTAATGTAAAGATAAATAAAAAACTGAAGATGTAAGAAACGTAAAACATGTATCTGTAGTGATAAATCATATATACTGGAGATATTATGTAGATAGTCTTGTGATTTAATGCCGCTTATCAATAGAGTAATCTTATAACATGGTGATATCATTAAAGGATGTTTATTGGAGTCCAAAGATTGTTTGTCCTGCTCGCAGTTTGTGGCTTTGGGATACACAAAGGATCATGTGCGGACGGAAATGATGCAAAGAATCTTAGAAAACAGCTATTTGTAACTGACGGTTACGACAAAAAGGTCAGGCCTTCCAACAACCAATCTGATCCAATAGGTATGAACAATTTTCTGTTTCTAATTTTTGCACGATAGCGCACTAAGATTTGTTTCTTAAATCATTGTTTATACATTGTATACTTTTTCCTGTTTATTAATTGACATTAACAGTAATGGACATTGGAGTAACCCACTTTTCTTTAATGACCTGAGTTTTGAGTTTTAATTTACCAACACATTTAGCAAATCTTAAAACACTGAGTACCTTTGTTATACTCATTAGGTTTACTTTTATATGTATCTACATGATCATTTCTGTGTTCTACTTATTTTACCTTTTGTAACCATAACAGCTGTTAGAATTTCACTTTATTCATTTTATATACAATGTCTCGTTTAGAGAAACACGGTGGGGCTAAGAGTGAGGTTTGGTGCACAATTAACCGATTTAAATACCTAGCAGTGCTTATGCTGCTGACCGTTCCAAGGCCGCGCCCCTCTGTGTTCCAAAGATGGATGTCTTTGTTGTTTCATACTGTTTTAATGACATTATTGTTTGTGCCCTTTGTTGTTTTTTTTTCGTTTGCGATAAGTAGCATCCCTTTTGCCTCTAGTTTTTTTTTATTTTGTACCTGCCTCCCCCGAGTCCCCTACCCCTGTGCCCTTTTTTACTTTGTGGGCCTTTGGTCAATTATTTTTTTTGTTTTCTTTGATTTCGTTTTCGGTACTATTGTTTCTCTTTAGGTGTCATTTATTTTTGTCCTGGCCGTGCTCTGCCATGCACCCTGTCCTTTTTTTGGTTGGGGTCCTCCGGGGCTCCTTGTCGCTGGTTCATGTTGCTTGGTCGTTTAGGGGTTGCGTTTATTGAACGCCGCCTTACCTTGTTGATCTTGTTTATCATATTTTACCTGCACGTTTGTTTCTTGGAGATCAGTGATTTCAAAACATTAAAGTGTGTTTGTGTGCGCGCGTGTGTGTGTATGTGCAGTGCTTTATTTTGCTTTTATATATATCTTTGTTAAATCCGGAAATCTATATGCCAACCTTTGCTTCAATTCAGTGCACTTTCCTAATGTCCTGTCATCTTACATCTTGAAATTTCAGTATACGTGCCACTAGATGTTTTCAACTCTTTTTTCACTCTTATGTTTTATTCGAAATTTACACTAGTGTAGGCCTTGGAACTGTATCATTTTTTGGTGATAAATAGTCAAAGATAGACGCAGTGAAAAGAATTACAAGTAGTTATGAAATAATTTCCTAGTAGTGTTTAAAAATCTCATCAATACATTTGATGGATTTCATGTCAGAAAAACTGTATTTAATCAGTTTGAACCTGATTTCACTGAGGCAATTATTATAAGAAGTACAAACAAATAATTATCGAAGATCGAAGAGATGGGACGTTATGCGATACATTGTCAAACAGTTGTCTGAATACTCCTGTTTGAATAGGTTCATTTTATCAATCTAATCATATGCTAATCAAATGCTCGAAACTGATAGTAATTTATTCGCTGTCAAGGGAAATGCCATTAAGTTTAAACTGTATCATTTCGTTTAATACTGTCTAGAGGTATACGTGAGTTTGTATTTGCTGTCAATCAATGAATTAAGTGAGACAACAGAGACATTGAAGACAACAGCTTATCTTTGGATCACATGGTATGATGAATTTCTACAGTGGGATCCATCAGACTACGGGGGAATCGACTATTACCATTGGCCACAGGTAAAGTTGTCTCTAGCTAGCCTGTTCAATTATCAGAACATTATATAATTGAACTTCCAATAATAATTGGGAATCCAATATAAATTATACATATACATCTGTTTGTACTAAATACGCTTAAGCTCTCATAATAAAAATAAAGCGATTCGTGCTGACAACCTACTTTCACTTTTACAGTTAACTGTTTGATGACGTAAAATATGACGTCATTGTTTCAGTTTGTGCACTTGCACATGTTCTGCGGGCTGATAACTAGTTCTCGGCCCCGGGCCGCAAATTCATAATAGGTCACGTGACACTCATAATCAGTTGAAATCATAGGCAATTTTGTTACTATATATAGTATCAAGTGTATTAATCATTTTTCATTGACGCGCTTATAGAATAACGCTAACATTTAACATTATTTTCATATAACGCAAATGACGCCATTATTCATTATAATCGGCCCGCAAAATGAATAATGGACCCGAGGGCTTTAGCCCGAGGGCCATTATTCATTCAGGGCCGATTATCACCTTCCGGCCCTCTCCTGCCGTGTATTAACCTCTTATTCTTTTTCACTTCAAATGGTCTTTATTTTTGGTATGTGATAAACAGAATATTAGATTCCTAAATTTATTGACCTCTTTGAATAAAATAACATTATGCTCGCCACAGACTCGTATCATAAAATTTTATTTTCAACTCGTTTAGTGAATTCAGTATTAAACTTACACTTATCATCATCTATTATATGCTGTAATATTCATGTTTTATAAAGATATAAAGTCAGATTCTGAATAAGCAATTAACATATATGTATATTCAAAACAGTTCGAATACTTTTAATATTTGCCTTTTTTATTTACAAGGGAGATGTATGGAAACCGGATGTAGCACTGAAGAACTCGTTTTTGGAGTATAAGGAACTAGGAGTTTCGTCCCTGAACGTTCTCGTCTCTTCTGATGGTTACGTTGAATGGTATCCGTTTCAGGCAAGACACTCCTATTAATGAGCCGCGTCACGACAAAACCAACATAATACGGTTGCGACCAGCATGGATCCAGACCAGCCTGCGCATCTGCGCAGTCTGATCAGGATCCATGCTGTTCGCTATCAGTTTCTCTACTTGTAATAGGGTTTGTATGCGAACAACATGGATCCTGATCAGACTGCGCGGATGCGCAGGCTGGTCTGGATCCATGCTGGTCGCAAACGCTCTATGTTGGTTTTGTCGTGACGCAGCATATATAAACGTATTGGATAATTATGTTTTGATTTCTCGGGGTCCGTACTCTCAGTGCCTGAAAGGGCGGATTGACCCTCATTAAGCCTAGAATATACACATGTTTTGATAAAAAAAACAATGTTAATTTTCCAATTTTTCAAACCACGGCGATAAGGTTATTCGTCCTGCCACAATAATTTTGAGAGGGTATAGAGTACAATCGAATGCATGGATTTAATTTTCATACAATAAAGACATTATTGATTAGGACCATTCAATTATAAAGAAACTTGAAGACTCTTACAATCATATCTGTATTATAAAGTTTAGTAAACGTTTTATAAAAGAACCAATTTTGGTTAATTTGATATCCTGTTCTATTGTCCATATCCATTCTTGCGATGAGTATTTGGGCATTTAATTAATTTCAAATAAAGCGGTTTTTAGTTATTTATAAACATGATATATAATGATATATGGAACATATTAGCAGAAAACGTTATATTGAATCTTTTATGCATGACCATTAAGGATATCATTATACAGAAACAAATACGTGTATATTAAAAGGTATTAAAGAACGGTGAATTCGTTATTTTATATATATATATACACGAGAGTTTCCATTAGCTGAAATGTTTTTTTGTTTGTTTTTTTTTCCAAATAAGATGCTTCCTTTTACATGTGCATCGTGTTTTCAATTTTCTTTCCTGTGGTTTCACGTGTAAGTTCGAATTCATGATATTGTATACCTTCTTTTTATCTTTCTCTCCATAAACCTTTTCAGGTTTTCCAATCTACGTGCTCCGTAGACATCACATATTTTCCATTTGATACTCAAGAATGCAAATTAAAGTTTGTGGCTTGGAGTTATTCAACGTATGAGGTAAAACAATATTTTTGACCAACTTTTTTGCACATCTGACTGTTTCAACTACATGTGTGTTTTTAATGATCTTCTGAACACTCTGCATTAGCTATGGTTTTAACCTTTAAGCTGATTGGACCAAACGTGATTAACCATTGCGACAAGTATAGAGCCGCCTAGCCGGCCTGCACACCCGTACAGTCTGACCAGGCCTGAAAATATACGATATAAATAAATGGTTACAAAAACTATGTAAAATGGAAATATTTATGCAGCAAATTCAGCAGGTATAACGTTAATGTTTCCTGGAAATATTACCGTGACCTTCAACGGAAAGGTAAAAGATACAAGAACTACCGAGTCACTGAAAGCTAGGGTTAAGGATTGTCATGAATGCTTAATAAGGTCATCCTTCTCTTAACGACACTCAAGTTCTAATAAAACGTTGAATCATGTTGTCTTTAGATAAAATATTGAATATGTGGGTAGAATCTGAAATTGGTAAAACTAGCCTATAGAATGTTTTTTTTTTAATTTTAATGTGTTAAGCGCGCACCTGTCAGGTTTTGCATAACTGACTTTCCTAAAGTGATATATAATTTGTATGGTTGTATTCTAGGTTTATATGGACAGTGGAGACATATATAATTTGTATATATATTCTAGGTTTATATGGACAGTGGAGACAAAGGGATAGAGTTGGAAGAGTATGAATCAAACTCAGAATGGGACGTCATTGACACAAGTTACTCGGTGAACTGGGAATCCGCGGAGTCTTCTGTTGTATTCAGCATCAAAATCAAAAGAAAACCACTTTATGTCCTTCTCTCAGTGATCATGCCAATAATTATGTTGGCAGTTTTGAACATTTTTGTATTTGTCCTACCTTGTGATAGTGGCGAAAAGGCTAGTTATTCCATAACAGTCTTCTTAGCTTTTGCTGTATTTCTGTCTATAATTTCTGCAACCTTTCCCGAAAATTCCGAAGTGGTCGCTTTATTTTCTATCTATCTTATCATCCAGACGCTACAGAGCACAGTAATTACTCTCATTGCCCTAGCTCTTACTCGATATGCTTCATTCGATGGTCTAGGAACACCTGTACCCCATCAACTAAAAGCTTTTCTTAATGTCATCACCTGCAAAACCTGCTGCGCGAAATACATTCGTAAACATCAGGTTACTGATATTGAAATTAATGCTGAAAAAGCTACAAAAAAGTCAAATGGGAAGTTAGACAACAAAAGCTTTATTCTCAAGGAAAATGAGGATCAAATGCAGAATAGTGATCATCCATCTAGATTTAATACCTGGAAAGAAGTTGTTAACAAGCTTGACGTAATATTCTTTGTTTTCTTCACTTGTGTTCTCATTGTCTCCACTCTTCTCTTCTTTATTATATCTGTCACAAAATAAGTTAAGATTTTTGAATACACTGTCTTCTTGGCCATATCTTAAACCTAAGGATTCAAGTATTTAAACATATTTTCTACTTTTTCATATCTGCAACAAAATGAGTTAAGGTTTTAATACATATTTTTAACTGTTTCATATCTTTGACAAAATGATTAAAAGTTTTTAAACTAATGACTTAATTAGCTCGACATTCAAACACAGACAAAAAACGAATATCGAGCTGAATGTTTTGCTGAATGTCTAGCCAGCTTCACATCCCAGCTCGATATTCAAAAATAGACTAAATTCGAATGTTGAGTTGAATGTTGTGCTGAATGTCTAGCCAGCTTCACATCCCAGCTCAACATTCAAAAATAGACAAAAAAAACGAATGTCGAGTTGAATGTTGTGCTGAATGTCTAGCCAGTTTCCCATAGCAGCTCAACAGTGATAAGTCGAATGTCGAGCTGAATGTTTAATGTCGATCTCTGTGCCAACTTCATGGACTTAAATAGATTTACATTTGAACAAGTGCGTCTTTGATGTTGTCAAAATTAGAATGGTAACATTTATACTGAATACCAGTTTTAATGAAAATGAAAAGAGCTTAGCCTTTGTCAAGACGATCATTTTTTAATATACTTTTGGCGGATGTTATTATCTTCCGCATCAATTATGATTAACGCATGGTTTAGTAGTATGCCGGTTGACAGCAAAAGACAGAAAAGCAAAATGAAGAGTTCTCTTTGCCATTAAACCCTATTGCATTATTTCTTTACACATGTATATATCTTGTGAATTGTTTTTCAGTTTTTGGCAATGACGATTACTTATCTCTCACTTGTATGATTTCTTCTTGTGATCAAATAAAGATATTATGTGGTATGGATTACAAAAAGTATAGATAAGAATTAATTTTTTAACGTCGTGCAATGCACATATTTTTATCCATGTCCTCTAAGATTATCTGTTATATCCTGTCTACATTTTAAATCAGTCTAAATAAAAAACAAGTTTCTTGTACAACTGATTTTTGTCTTTGTTCCAATTAGTGGTTATTATGTGTATCCTATCAGTGTTTAAAGCAGGAGAAGTTAAATTCAAAATTTTGTTTTGCAAATTTTATTTGCTGACATAGGTGGAGGGAACTCTTTGAAGAGATGAACTCCTCAATGTATTTGTGGGCCGATGCATCGCAATTATTGACTAGTTTTTAGTGTCTGGTATAGCTCAAACATTACATTTTACTGTGCACTATATTTCAAGCCAATACCTTTATCGTCACAATACACAAGTATGATCTTTCACTCACATGTGTGCCCTTTCTCCATTGTTTAACAATTTCGATATGATATCTTTTGTCAAGCATAAGTCTGATTAAATATTCAATGTTTATTATCAGAAAAATATGTTTGGGAATAGATTTTCAAGGATCAAGCCATTCAAATCTTTTTTATTTCACCCTTGAAAATAATTTCCGAATAAATCTAGTAAACGTCTTGTCATCCGTCTCGAAAACAAACCTTAAACATTGGCCATTACCTGTCCGATATTCTAACGATTTCTATCAAATTTGGATGCATTTACCGCCATAAAAAATGATTTTTTTTTCAAAGCAGATATGACTTCCCTACCTCTGAAAGACAAAGTATTTAAAGGTTAAAATCTTGAAAAAAAAACTGTTTAAACAACCTTGTTCTTAAAGTGCAGATTTCTTCTATACTTCGATAAATTAACTTGTTTTTAACCCCTGCATAACATATTTGTCTTTATGGTCGGAATTTTGAAAACAACAATAGAGATACTATCTGTGAATCTGTAAATGTTAAAGTGGCGGGGTGTTCAGATGCAGTGTTTGTAAGATACATAGAGGATAATAAGTCAATAGGGCATAAACCAAATCTTATTAGTATTGATGAAGATGATGATAAATTGATTTGCTGCAAATTCCATGGAATGTTAGGTCATGATTACTGCATCAAACACAAATGAGCCGCGTCACGACAAAACCAACATAGTGCGTTTGCGACCAGCATGGATCCAGACCAGCCTGTGCATCTGCGCAGTCTGATTAGGATACATGCTGTTCGCTATCAGTTTCTCTACTTGTAATAGAGTTAGTAAGCGAACAGCATGGATCCTGATCAGACTGAGCGGATTCGCAGGGTGGTCTGGATCCATGCTGGGCGCAAACGCACTATGTTGGTTTTGTCGTGTCGCGGCTCATATAGATAAAGCGTACTACACGTGATGACATATTCAATACACTTCTTTTTGCGTTTGTTAGAGTTTGCCTGACTGAATATAGCGTAACCAGAATACATCTTGCAATTCGATATTTATTAGGATGTTATGTATTGTGCAATATATAAATTTTATGAACATATCATACGTACACATGGACGCACATATTACATGTTTAAAGTTGATCATGATTATCCAAAAACGGTAGATAACAAGACCGAAAACGTTAACTTTAATTGAAGGCAATATGTACTGCGAACAAAGTAGTCAGTTTCGGTGATGATTCCTGGACCTGCACATTAAGGTAATTAATGCTTAGAAATGAAAAATAGATGTGTAGCAGTACACCAAATTGCAGACGCTGCGCTGCTTTAATCAACAATCTATTTGTAAGCAATATTTCCACAAATTGAGCGTGAATGTCGACCGTGAAACACCACTTGAAAATTCAAAAACAACTTCAATTATTTTAAGCTGACCCATTCAAATATCTCAAGAATAAATTCACGAGTGTGATTGTTTTGTATAACAATCACAAGGTAAAACATCATTATCGATGTTTTGTTGATAAGCAGTGTAAGCAGTGTAATTGCTAATTTTTCTGGAATTTTCATGGATTATCTAAACAATAAAACCATTTACATGACTTGATTTGTGTCATGGGGTGAGAATGATGTTTAGACTAATTGATACTTTACTTGAACGCGGGATGTTCGCAATACCATTTCAAGGACCCATAGGCTGAACTACCTGGCCGGTTAATAACACACTTTCTCTTCAATTAGTGAACAGTTTCATACCGTAACAACAGCAATCAGTTTTCCAATTTGTCTTTCTCTTTAATTAGTGAACAGTTTCATACCGTAACAACAGTAATCAGTTCTAAAAGACAACAAAGCTTGTCATTTAATCCATGTAGCAACATTTTTAAGGCACAAAGCACAGACATGGTTTGACAATGAAAAAAAAAGAGAGATACTGTTTCATTTCTAATGTAGCCAGTGGACAATGTTTGGAGTTATTTTTGCTCTATGTGAAGTAATGCAGGATTTATCGGTTTATCGGTTGATTTATTTTACAATTGTATTTCGTGTTGCGATGCATTGCTTTGCAAATTATAATTGATGAAGTGTAAGTGTTCATACCGTAATCTTTCAACAGCTAAGGCTGTATCGTCACCTTTGTCATACATCCATACAAGACGCTTGAACGACTTAAAGTAATAGAAAGAGCACCGAAACCCTCGGCTATCTGATTTGTACGAGGGGGCGTAGCCCCCGAGTATAAATCAGATTGCCGAGTGGTTTGGTGTTCTTTCTCTTTTGTATCATAGTCAAACATAAAAACACGTTCCCTGTTGTCACAATTTTAAACCCCGGGAAAAAGTTACCAATGATCGAGCATCTGAATATGATATTTCTGCCGCTTTCCCTTTCTCTGCAGTCACAATATATAAACCCCAGCAAAAATGAGCCAATCAACGGGCATGATCTGGAGTGCGGGTAACTGATACCTGCACTCCAGTTACCGCACTGTGCATGTATATGTATATGATTTAACTCTGACACTTTTGCAACAGAAAGGTCCCCAAACTATGATACAAACAAAGTTTAGAGAATTTCAAAAAGGTATATAGATCAGACAATGGCGCCATTCATTCTAATTTAAGAGGGGTTAACATACCTTTGATTTTATTACCTTTCGAACGAATGATGCGATAATAAGAAAGTTGGTACGATCAGCAATATGTTGCTCAAGATTAAATTGCAGACATTCAGAGATTAATGTCCGGTCATTTAAGGATTAGTTGCGTTAAAAACTTAAAGTCATTAGTAAAAATGACATGGTATGTACCAGTATTAAGTGCTAGAAGTTTGTGTATTTGTTGCCTGCCATTTTATAAAACAAATGTAAAGAGGTATGTCAATGTCTTTTGCAGGTGTTTATTCCTACTTGAATAATGTTGAATCACCCTTAGGATATGTTGCCTGCTTTTTAAATTTGTCTTTTGACGTCTTATCTGTGATACGCAGGCTTCATAACCTCTGATCCCCTTTCAAAATTCCATTTTATTTAGTTCCGCCTATTGTTTTCTCGTTTAGGGCACACGCTTTTTATTACTTGGGGACCATACGCCGCTTTTCATGGAATGGCACGGAAGTGTCACGTTGAAGGTTCCATGATAACCGCCGTATGAACACATCTGCGGATGTTTCTAAATTCTAAATTTTACAATTTCATGTTTAAATGTTGAATTCTGCTTAAGCCGGTGCTATGGGGCGTGGACGGTAGTTTGCACTTTACAGTACCGTCCATGAACAGGCTCAATCAAACCGAGCCTGCAACATTTTCAATTTTGCCGTGTTGGGCTTTCTTTAGGGATTCTGTATTTATCTATTTTACCATTATTCCATGTACTTTCTTAATCTAGCACTCATGTATTTCATCACTATTGAACACTATATTTTAAGGATAAGTACGTCAACATTAATTTTTCATGTAAAATGTCATTGCGTTTGCTTATGTAGTTTACACTCGTCATTCTCACAAAGTAAAGTACCAGAAAATGTACGATATAAATATATGTGAAACACAACTTTAGATATGGTCTTTATGTAAAGATTACGGAACCATTTATCCTTTTAAATGATAAGCTTGTTTTGAACCAAAGGATCAAGGTCATAATCTTTAATAAGAAAGGGATTATCCGCATATCAAATGTATTTTGTACTTGAACTTATTAATATAACAAAGGTTGATGTCACCTTTTTACACTTGATATTTGTGATAACTTTCACATATTGACAAAAGTTAATATGGCAACAAAAGTCACGCTTGCATGTGCTTCAGGTTTGAATTATCAAAAATAGCGAAGTTAAAACACTGGTCGGACATCAAAATAAAAGTCCTTAACTTTTTAAAGGATTGTAAAGGCCTCTTTTAAGTGAATAAAATGCCCTATTTATGAATTTTATCTTAAAACCTTATATTTGAGATCAGATCAGACATTGGTGTATACAAATTTGGTAGCCTCTTGTATGTAACATTTATGTATATTTATTGCTTGAACTGATGTGTTGCTCAAATGAGTTCTCTCGTAAAATAAAGTCTTTATTATTATTATTTTTTATTATTATTATTATTATTATTATTATTATTATTATTATTATTATTATTATTATTATTACATAAAGAGAAATGTTAAAATGTTTGTAGATGTAAAAATCTCCTTCATGTTTGCAAAATCAGCACTAACATATCAGGGCTATCACTGTATGTGATCTTTCTGAACGTGTCTTGTCGGATAGGTTGGACCATATGGAAATCAAACTCTGATATTAAAAAAACTCCGCAGATGTACAAAAACTACAAAATAAATGTCGTACATAGATCAGCTGACGCACTTGAAACTGATAAATATGCAAAAAATAGTTCAGAAATATATTCAGATATGAATTAAAAATCGTATTTTTGTGCCATTTTTGCCCGATTTGAGTGAGAGGCGTTGGAATGCTTTATATGAGCCGCGTCACGACAAAACCAACGTAATGCGTTTGCGACCAGCATGGATCCAGACCAGCCTGCGCATCCGCGCCGTCTGATCAGGATCCATGCTGTTCGCTTACCAACACTATTACAAGTAGAGAAACTGAAAGCGAACAGCATGGATCCTGATCAGACTGCGCTGATCCACAGGCTGGTCTGGATCCATGCTGGTCGCAAACGCACTATGTTGGTTTTGTCATGACGTGGCTCATATATCTTATATATTATAGTTTGTATGATATATATCAAATAAGTGCATTAAGGTTGTGTATTAATTTTACCTCTGCGTACTCCCCTAACCTGTTCCAATTATTAGAAAGATTATATTATTAGAAAGCCTTCTTTTTAATATAAAATAACCTGTAGCGTTAATCTTCAATGTTCTTCATATATTATTGTATCATGTTCAGCTACAAACGTATTCTGTTTCAAAGAGTGTCGTGATGAACTGAGGTAAAACAATAAATATAACGATTCATAACATTTATACGATAACACAAATGGAATTGTATTTATTCTGAAGACAATTAACAGGTTGTAATAATAGAAGTAATGAAAACACATTAAAGATACAAATAAAGTTCTATTGCACGCTGTAAGTTTTTACGACATTTTTAACAGATCTCTTTCATATCTTTTACAAAATATCAAAATATTTTCGGGAAATTTATTCATACATTGATTGACAGAGCACTTAGAAACTCAATTTGTTGCTTTGTATCGTAATGAATGTTGACATAAACATAAAATACGCAAGAAAAATACTTATTTTCACGAAATGAATGGACAATTGAAGCTTAACAAGAATAAATGGTATCCGTAGTAAGAACTTGTTTGTGACTTGAAACACGTTGCTATTTCACATACTTATTCTGAATTCATTTAACATGCTAGTGCGAATTCAAGTATAAATTATATACAAAAGCAACGACTTAAGCCTGACATTTCGACACCGTTTCCGGAAAATTTGAAGATATGTTTAACGATTATTTTGCAGCAGCGTTTTCTAGTCATGGCTTATAAAACGGCGGACTACATTTTGCGTTGAATCAAACATTTACAAGCAGAAACAGAAAAATAAGTTCAAGAAATCGGATTTGTTAATACAACATTGAAACAAATGTTTATTAATAGAGTGGCATAAGGATTGTATCAATTCAGAATTTATTGATTAAAGTGCAGAATATTAGATCAGTCAGTCTCTGTATAGTGCTTACTTTTCGTTGTTTATCAAGTGTTCATATAATCGAGTCGTTGATTATATACATATCATTTATTTCAAATACATTCTTGTTGGATATTCAATTATTTTAGGCCAGTATTTACTGTTTATTTTAATAAATTTAAGATTGTTATCAATTACACTGGAAATAACGTGAGGAATTTGAGAAACAAGATAATAAAATCGAACGCAAAATAAACTGTGCATGTTTCGTCCGTAACCGCTTAAAATATTAACCATGTGCTAGTATCAAATAATATGGTCATTTTTGTCTAATGGCTCTATAGTTACGTTTTGTCCAATTTTCCCGTGTACTGTCTAGAAGGAAATAAATATTAATTTAGAGTGCATTGTTGTAGAATAATGCGCTGTTCGAGATCATGCGCAGGAATATAACGAAGGCCGATACAGCGAAAAATGGTGTTAGACTAAAGATGTTCAGTGGCATATACTCTTTATTAATGGGGGAAAATTACGTCAAAATTCCTAAGTCTATCACAAGTTAAATCCGTTATTTTCCATTTAATCATTACCATGTTTATACGACGAACACGTCTGGACAGAAACGTAACTTAAAAGCAAATTATTGAAAATGCTAAAATATGGTTACAATTGTTAACAATCTGTCAAAATAATCTAAAACTTATGCACAGTTTCTTTTAAATTTGAGTAAACATGCATAGTTTTTTGCTCTTGGGTATATGTGGTACGACAGATGCTTCATTGTACAATTATCATCTATTGTGTCAATATTTTTTTCTTTAATTTTTAGTTAGTTCATTATATAAAGATTATATGAAGATGCAGTGGTACATTCTTATACTAGTATTTGGTATTGGGATACAGCATGGTCAATGTCAAGATATATATGATCTCAAGAATCTCAAAGAACAACTATTTGTGACAGATGAATATGATTCGAAACTCAGACCTGTCTACAACCAAACCAGTGCAATAGGTAGGAAAAGTTCAGCAGAGTTCTAGCATGTTCTATTTTATTTTATGTTGATTTTTTGTGCATGTGTTTTAATGTATATACACATCTCGGTAAAAAGGAGATAATTGAGCCGCGTCACGACAAAACCAACATAATGGGTTTGCGACCAGCATGGATCAAGACCAGCCTGCGCATCCGCGCAGTCTGATCAGGATCCATGCTGTTCGCTATCAGTTTCTCTACTTGTTATAGAGTTTGTAAGCGAACAGCATGGATCCTGATCAGACTGCGCGGATGCACAGGCTGGTCTGGATCCATGCTGGTCGCAAACCCATTATGTTGGTTTTGTCGTGACACGGCTCATATTATGTTATTTCATGTTTAAAGTGTTAATATGGGAGTCGGTTCACCATAGTAACGGATAAAATGACTTAAAATTCGATGATAAATTAAGTTATAGTGTTAAACTTTTAAAAATATAATTAAATATGTGACAAAAAATATCTAACATGTGTTTACCGGATGGATAATACTATCCGAACTGCAACGCATGACGGATATTGTTCATCTTCAACGTCTTTATACTCATAATTATCATCATTATTATTTTATTATATACATGTATCTATACGTATATTTCCCTCTTAAAATATTATGTTTGCAGTATTTAATAAACCGAACGGATACAATGTATATTTTATGGAAGATAAATGGAATTTAGATTTAGTATAAGTTAATATTTTAGGCCCTTTTGCAGGTTACCCCATTTATTCTTTCATTTTTTTTATTTTTGATAGTCAGTATTAATTAAATCAAACCTCTTAAGTGCGGCGCGGCTAATTTCTCTAATACCACTGTCAATTATGTACCAATACTCCGCTATCAAATTGGTCGTTCATTATTATTATCATTGCCGTCATTATTATCATCTTCTGTTCTTTTTTTTGCTGAATAATTACAATATTAAAAAATATGCAAACATATTTTATATAAAAAATCTCTGGTGTTGCGTAAAACGAGCAATTTCTGGATAGAAAGTCACACGAAAACAAAGTCACATGCATGGTTTCTAATGTTTACAAATGCATTGAATGGACATAACTTTGTAGTTATATAAATATTTGATATGCATTTTATTTTCAACCAACTGCTTTTAACATTTTCAATGGAAATTATTGATTGTTTTCTATTATAATATTTAGATGTTTGGGTCAACCTGTACTTAGTGTCAATCCATGAGTTAAATGAGGCAACAGAGACGTTGAAGATATCAGCGTATCTGTGGATCATATGGAATGATGAATTTCTGGTATGGAATGCTACCGCTTACGGCGGTATCGAACAATTATATATCCCACAGGTATACACGTCATCATTTATAATATATCAAATATATCACATATGAGCACATAACGAGAGTTGATCGAAATCATAGAGAAATCACTTTCGCTATGAAATGACTTTGTTAATTTTAATTTGATGATAAGTTGATAAGTTAATTTCAATATTCCATAAGGCCACATAGCCCATGAGGATATACAATGCATTATATATGGCAAGACAGTATCATAGCATAAATGTACAAAACAATTTAAACACCGGAGGTTTACAAATAATTAAATGTCTTCCTAATTAGTATGACATCAGATATTCTGATCGGATTTCACTTTGGTATAAATTTAATTTTACAATGAGAAATTTTATCAGATATTTTTAGAACAAGATATCTACGGTTCTTTCCACCGAAATATATCATGTTGTTCCGCATGTTAATTTCGAGGAAAATGTAACATATACCCATGTGAAATTTCACATCGAACAAAATGAAAACCGAAACACTATTCTATAAGAACATTTAGGCTAAATTATAAATGCAGCAATATATTGCATAACAACTCAACCAATTACGTGAAAAGATACAATAAACAAGGTTATATACACCGAATGCATTAGCTCCACATTGACGAGTTTTTGAATAGTCAAGACTTATTGGCATCTTCATTGAAACTGAGGGTCGTGGGTTTAAATCCAAGTAAGGTCAATATTTTTCCTTCTTTGTTGAACTAACTTTGAAATAGACCATTATTTAAGTAGATTTTAAGCTCTCTAACTTGACCATGGTCAATTAAGTGTTTAAAGCAGTGTCTAGGTAGGGTTTCATTTTCAATTTATTTCGAACATTTTGTGTAGAAAGAATAATAAAGATGATCCAATAGACAAGTTAGTTGCTCTTTATTTATAAAACGTATGATAAACTTAAGTTCTGAAAAGTTTTCATAAGTCCAAAACCGTACCGTAAATTTTGGTAAAATTTTGCATAAGTGCGTCTTTTACCGTATACAACTCAGTAACGCCATCTCGCAATGTCCATTATGTGTATGCGAATAAACATCATTTTTCGATTCCATTTAATTACAAGGGAGATTATTATACATAACAACTTTGTTGTCCTCGGAACCCAAGTGTTTAATACGACTATGGCCAAAAAATATCGTTATGTCAGTACTTTGTATTAGAAGCATTTCCTAATATCGCCACTGCAGATAGTTAAAGATATACTATGCTCATCTTTTGGTAAAATTATTTATTTCAGAAATTTATTGAAATCTAGTAAAATCTTCCTGAATATGTCTAATTTGAATGAATGAACGTATGAACTATGTTTGGGAAGCTGCATTCCCTATCATTTGTCAAATTGATTAGGTCTATTGTATCAGTTATAGAAACCGCCAGTTTTTAATGGCACTGTGTGATCATATTATATTGTGATTACCTGGAATGCGTAGAATTTAATACGTAACATATTTTCTATGTGTGTATTCAGAACATGTTTATTTTACATGTCAAAAGAGACGGAATGTTAATTATCAGGGGTTTTTGAATATCAAGTTAGAGCATTTTTTTTCAAATAAAACTCAGCAAATGCAATTGCAACGACCTAGGTTGAACAGATTTACAATATACTCGATTAAAAATTAGACAAAAACAATGGACAACAGTTTATTGTATTTAAATTGGCTATGTCTATTTACTGAAATTTTAATTATTGAGCCGCGTGACGACAAAACCAACATGGTGCGTTTGCGACCAGCATGGAATTAGACCAGTCTGCGCATCTGCGCAGTCTGATCAGGATCCATGCTGTTCGCTATCAGTATCTCTACTTGTTATAGGGTTTGTAAGCGAACAGCATGGAACCTGATCAGACTGCGCGGATGCGCAGGCTGGTCTGGATCCATGCTGGTCGCAAACCCATTATGTTGGTTTTGTCGTGACACTGCTCATATTATCAAGGGGGATGTATGGAAACCGGATGTGGCACTGAGAAACTCAGTCAAACAGTTCAAAGAACTTGGAGTAACGACACTGAATGTGAAGGTCGATATGGATGGCTGGGTCGAATGGTATCCTTTTGAGGTTAGTAACTTGTGTAAAGATGAATTCATAATGATGTATATTTAAGAAGACAACGAAGGGATAATGAAAAAAATTGACACAAGAGATTTAGCAGTATGTTTTATAAACATAACTTTTTAAATGCATAATCTAGGATGAACTTTAATAACTAAACTGTATCAATGTTAGCAGATAGGAAGATCGCTTATTCAACAGCAGTTTTATTATATTATGTGTTTAACTCCAGGTTTTTGAGACATCTTGTTCTGTAGACATCACGTATTTTCCATTTGATACCCAGGAATGCAAGATCATGTTTGTGCCTTGGAGTTATGGTTCCACCGATGTATGTACATTTCAGTTCTTTAGTCTATCAACCTATCTAAATATAAACATATGCTTATATGATACTAGCTTTCTTTAAAAACTGATAATATTAAATCGTGACTTTGCCTCCCTTTTTTATGTCAGTCATTTATTCGAATAAAACCAGATAATATTTAAAGGCATAAAGCGTCATGTAATGCTTGTTCAGTATAAATCAACACGAAAATAATATCCTGAGTAGTCCAAATAATTAGCCGTTTACATTTTATATTTATCATTGTGACATTTTACATTTTATATTATCAAGGCTTTTTTCAACGTCTAAACGGATTGTATTAAAAAGACGTAGCATAAATCAAATTTATATAAGTAAAGAATTTCATGTCAAAGTATGTGTAATCCAACGAAACAAAACAACTTTCATGTCATCACCAAACTATCAGTTTCAAAATCATTTCTATATTGGTTTGGGGACGCTGATTTAAATTTCAATCACTGATGTTTCCATTTATTGTCAACCATATTGAAACCATACATGTTGACTGAATACAATTGGTACACGAAATGTTTTTCCTCCTGTGTTATAACTATACATTTACGCCAAATACAAATATGCAGAGACATAGATAACTATTATCTCTATGTCTATGTCTCTGAAATATGTTAATAAGTTGCATTAGGATTTTAAATTAAAAGAATATTTTTTATTCAGCAATGATAGAACAATGAACAAAATATACGAGTATCATAAATCAAAATAAAACTAATAAATAATCCGTGTAAACTGATTTTACTAATAAAGTGCAACTGTATCACATTTGGATATCCTTGGCCAATATTGCACAGCCAATTTAATTTCAGTTTACTTTAGCATGTTCATGTTTCATTTCTCTTTCATAGGATATTAAATTTCTTTCATATCATTACTAATTAAAATGTTTAAATGCATTAGATCTAAATCGATGTCTGATGTCAAATTGTTTGCTACACGTGTTTGCAGTGATCTGTTAAGACCTAACGTTACATGGAAAATGAAAAATTTAAAATATCATATTAATGAAGGAGAAACATGAAATAGGTAACGTTATAGGTCTTACGTTATTAAGGCTATATTTTAGCTGCTATCTCTTTACACAACTATCTTAAACAAATACTTTTACGCAACTTAAAGATTCTGTAACACAATTTTTTATGGTTTTATATTATAAATATAATGCTCGAATGAAGATGTATCAATAGTGTAAGTTCCAAAAAGCATGATTTATAAAGATATTACGGAATCTTACATTTCATGTAAATAAAGGGAGGTAATTAGAAACTTATTTTAAGTTTAAGTAAAATTTTTCAATAAGAAATGCATATATTTTAATGATTACATATCTTGGTCTTTTAAAATAGTTGCTATCTAACGTTTTAAGTAATGTATAGATTGATTTGTCTCTTATATTTTTGTATTGAAAGGCATTCGTATTTTATTATGTTTTAAACTACAGTTTTATATCATGTTGTACGTATGAAGAGACATTAATAAACTAAAATATATATATATATATATAATATATATATAAATATATATATATATATATATATATATATATATATATATATATATATATATATATATATATATATATATATATATATATATATATATAATGTGCACAAATATTTGTAGAACGTTTTTTTACAAATTCTTCGATGTTTGAAAATTGTTTTATAAGCATAATTGTAATTATACATAATTATATAAGATTTCAGTTAAATGGGGGTAATAACCCCAATTACAACGTAAAAGATCTTTAAAGGACCTTAAATGGATGGTGAAAGGGGATTTATTCATTGTTAGTAAAATTGTTTGAAATTACGTCATTAACTAATTCACTAGATAAGTAAAAAGCTTGCAATTGTATATCTTCTATATATTCTTCAGGTTGCAATGAAAAGTGAAGCGGGTGGCATTGTTTTGCGTGATTACGAGGCAAACTCAGCCTGGGACGTCGTAAACACAGGCTACTATTTTACTACTTCTTCTGGAGATTCCACCGTCGTATTCACCATCAAACTGAGAAGAAAACCACTAAACGTCCTTCTCTCAGTGATATTACCAATAATGATGTTGGCAATTCTAAACTTATTTGTATTTGTGTTACCTTGCGAGTGTGGCGAAAAGGCCAGCTATGCAATAACGGTCTTCTTGGCGTTTGCTGTATTTCTGACAATAGTTTCTGCATCTTTTCCCGAAAATTCTGAAACGGTTGCTATATTCTCCGTTTATCTTATCATCCAGACGCTACAGAGCACGATAATAACTTTGATTGCTTTGGCTCTTACTCGATTTCTTTCGTTTGATAGCCTTGGAAAACCGGTTCCAAATATGTTACAAAAGCTGCTTAAGCTCCTAACCTTACGAAACTGTTGTAAGAAACCCTGCAAAGAGACTAAGGTTGAAAACATCAAGGTTGTTGAGGTTAGAGAAGGGTCAACAGGTAATGACGATGAGGGGCAAGATGACGATGATAAACCTCAGTACAATACATGGAAACAAGCCGTTGATAAGCTGGATTTTGTATTCTTTTTATTCTTTACTTTGGTCCTTGTTATGTCAACTTTAACTCTCTTTGTCATAGCTGTCACAAACAAAAATTAAAGTCTCTAAACACAGATCGATCAACATCGATCGAACACTTGTTATATGTCTGTACCACTTTTTATATGTGATTATTTTATATCTCAGACCACGACATAGACAACAAGACCAAAGTTATGATCAGGAAGCGTCCTGGAATGACCTTTCCTATGAAAACATATATCACCTGTTAACAATATACATTTATAAAAAGTCTCTGCGTGTTCTGTAAAATAAGATAAGAAGAAAAATTCAATTATATGTGTATGGTTTGGATTGAATACATGACCAACTCTGACTGGGTCAATAGTTTATAAGTTTATAATGATCTTTTCTGAAATGTCAAACAACGGTCATCTATCACCCATTCTCAGTGAAAGTCTTGTGTTTTAATTGGTGTCTTGAACGTTTTGCTTGAGTCATTTGATGTATTATACTGAACTTTACTTTCTGTAAAATGTTTAACAAACTTTTACATTGGATGTGAAATCAAAGTCATCGAGGATCTCTTTTTTTCTTTTTCTTTTTGTCAGGTCTGATTATGCATGTCTTGTTGTTGTTGATGTTTTTTGTACATATTGAAAACAATTCTTTTGAATAAAAATGTTTGAATTGTCGTATATCATACACCTTGGAGTATTTACTGAGTATATACTGGATAGTTTAACAACTAAAATGTTTCTTTTTAATTTTCTAAAATTAAGTTCATTTTAATTCAATTTTTATTTACCTTTAACATAATATACAATGTCTATCGCCATTACATATAATATATTATGGTGGCACTAAACAAAAACACGACATAATTTGAACATGAAAAAGACATGATAATACCAATTATTCATACTGTAACAGTACATGGAAAAATGAACTGGTAAATGTACTGTCTTTAAAGAGGGAAAATGCTTTAAAAAGCATATTTAAAACATTCATTGAAACCGACGTGGTTAAGTTCTGTAAGGCAAATTTAGTTATAGGCTCCAATTTACATACAATGTTCAAGAAATGTTTATTTAAGAACATGTCATTTAAGCTACATTGTAATTTCGTTTTCCAATTTGTCTTTCTCTTTAATTAGTGAACAGTTTCATACCGAAACAACAGCAATCAGTTTTCCAATTTGTCTTTCTCTTCAATTAGTGAACAGTTTCATACCGTAACAACAGCAATCAGTTTTGAAAGACAACAAAGCTTGTCATTTAATTCATGTAGCAACATTTTTAAGGCACAAAGCACAGACATAGTTTGACAATGAAAAAAAGTGAGATATTGTTTCATTTCTAATGTAGCCAGTGGACAATGTTTGGAGTTAGTGTGCCCCCAAGTTAGTGGCGGGCATTTAGATTTACCCTTGTCCGTCCTTCCGTCTGTCCGTCCTTCCGTCCGACCGTCCGTTCACTTTTGTGTCGCACGTAACTCAAAAAGTATTTGACCTAGAGTCATGTAACTTTACAGGAATATTGATTCAGCATGTGCAGTTGTGCACCAGGTATTTTCGTCTGGATTTATTTAGTATTTTTAGAGTTAATAACCCTCACTTAGAAAATTTTTGCAATTTTCAACTTGTGTCGCAAGTTACTCAAAAAGGATTTGACATAGTCATTTAACCTTATGGGCAGGTTGCTCAGCATATTTAGATTTGCACCTAGGGTTCCGCTTGTGGATTTATCCAGTATTTGTAAAGTAATTTCCCTTGACTTAGTAAAATGATTGATAGAACAGTGGTGCGGTGGGGGCACCCGTGTCCTATGGACACATTTCTAGTTTTTGCTCAATGTGAAATAATGCAGATTAATGATTTATTTTACAATTGTATGTCGTGTTGCGATGCATTGCTTTGTAAATTATAATTGATGAAGCGTAAGTGTTCATACCGTAATCTTTCAACAGATCACAGCTAAGTTATGTATCGTCACCTTTGTGATACATCCATACAAGACACTTGAACGACTTTAAAACAAAGTTAGAATAATTTCAAAAAGTATAAGTATGGATCAGAACGGCGCCATTCATTCTAATTTAAGAGTGGTTAACATACCTTTGATTTTATAACCTTTCGAACGAATGATGCGATGATAAGAAAGTTGGTACGATGAGCAATAAGTTGCTCTAGATTAAATTGCAGATAATCAGAGATTAATGTCCGGTCATTTAAAGATTAGTTGCGTTAAAAAGTTAATGTCGGTAGTAAAAATAATATGGTATGTACCAGTGTTAAGTGCTAGAACACAATATATCAAGGGTAAGTTCGTCAACATTTCATGTAAAATGTCAAGGCGTTTGCTAATGAAGTTTACACTCGTCATTCTCACAAAGTAAAGTACCAGAAAATGTACGATATAAATATATGTGAAACACAACTTTAGATATGGTCTTTATGTAAAGATTATGGAACCATTTATCCTTTTAAATGATAAGCTTGTTTTGAACCAAAGGATCAAGGTCATAATCTTTAATAAGAAAGGGATTATCCGCATATTAAATGTATTTTGTACGTGAACTTATTAACATGATAAAGGTTGATGTCACCTTTTTACACTTGATATGTGTGATAACTTTCACATATTGACAAAAGTTAATATGGCAACAAAAGTCACGCTTGCATGTGCTTCAGGTTTGAATCAAAGATATCGAAGTTAAAACATTGGTCGGACATCAAAATTGTTCAAGGATTGTAAAGGCCTCTTTTAAGTTTATAAAATGACCTATTTATGAATTTTATTTTAAAACCTTATATTTGAGATCAGATTAGACATTGGTGTATACAAATTGATAGCCTCATGTATGCAACATTTATGTATATTAATTGCTTAAATATGTTAAATATATATTGTTCCTTGATGAAGGCCTCATGGAAGACTGATTTGTTGTTCAAATGTGTTCAAATGAGTTCTTTCGTAAAATAAAGTCTTTATTATTATTATTATTATTATTGTTATTATTATTACATGTATTATTATTATTATTATTATTATTATTATTATTATTATTATTATTATTATTATATAAAGAGAAATCTTAAATGATTGTGGACATAAAACTATCCTTCATGTTTGCAAATAATATATTCAGATATGAATTAAAAATCGTATTTTTGTGCCGTTATTGCCCGATTTGAGTGAAGGGCGTTGGAACGCTTTATATGAGCCGCGTCACGACAAAACCAACATAATGCGTTTGAGACCTGCATGGATCCAGACCAACCTGCGCATCCGTTGCAGTCTAATCAGGATCCATGCTGTTCGCTTACCAACCCTATTACAAGTTGAGAAACTGATAGCGAACAGCATGGATCCTGATCAGGATGCGCAGGCTGATCTGGATCCATGCTGGTCGCAAACGCACTATGCTGGTTTTGTCATGACGCGGCTCATATATTATGTATGACATAAATCAAATAAGTGCAGTAAGGTTATGTATTACTTTAACCTCTGCGTACTCCACTTACCTGTTCCAATTATTAGAAAGATTATATTATTAGAGAGCCTTCTATTTAATATAAAATTTGGCAAATAACCTGTAGCGTTAATCTGCAATGTTTTTCATATATTATTGTATCATGTTCAGCTACAAAAGTATTCTGTTTCAAAGTGTGTTGTGATGAACTAAGGTAAAACAATAAATATCACGATTTATAACAAAGTTGGAATAGCATTTATACTGAAGACAACAGGTTTGTAATAATAGAACTAATGAAAACACATTAAAGATACAAATAAAGTTCTATTGCAAGCTGTAGATTTTTACGGCATTTTTAACAGATATCTTTCATATCATTTCAAAATATTTACGGGCATTTATTTATACATTGATTGACAGAGCACTTAGAAACTCAATTCGTTGCTTTGTAGCGTAATGAATGTTGACATAAACTTAAAATACGCAAGAAAAATACTTATTTTCACGAAATGAAAGGACAATTGAAGCTTCTCAAGAATAAACGGTATCCGTAGTCAGAACTTTTTGGTGACTTGGAACACGTTGCTTTTTCACATACTTACTCTGAATTCATTTAATAACGAGTGCGAATTAATGTTTAGATTATAAACAAAAGCAAAACGACTTAATCCTGACATTTCGACACCGTTTTTGAAGATATGTTATTTTAGATTATTTAGCAGTATCGTTTTCTAGTTATGACTTATAAAACGGCGGATTACATGGAGATGTGTGAAGTTGTCAACTTTTAAGCTGAACTCAAACATTTACAAGCAGAAACACAAAAATAAGTCTGATCAGGATCCATAAAAGGGTTGGTATGCGAATAGCATGGATCCTGATCAGACTACTGCTCAAATGTTTATTAATACATATACAGTGGTATAAGGATTGTACCACTTAATATTTATTGATTAAAGTGCAGAATATTACATCAGTCAGTCTCCGTACATTGCTTACCTTTCGTTGTTTATCAAGTGTTCGTATATTCGAGTCGTTGATTACTTATCATTTATTTCAAATACAGTGTATAAGTATCCTTCTTTTTGGATATTCAACTACTTTACGCTTGTATTTACTGTTTATTTAATATATTTAAGATTGTTATCAATTACACTGGAAATAACGCGAGGAATTTGAGAAACAGGATAATAAAATCGAACGCAAAATAAACTGTGCATGTTTCGTCCATAACCGTTGAAAATATAAACCATGTCCTAGTATCAATCAATAAGTTCATTTTGCCTAATGGCTCTATAATAAGGTGTTGTCCAATTTTCCCGTGTACTGTCTACAAGGAAATATATATTAATTTGGAGTGCATTGTTGTAGAATAATGCGCGGTTCGAGATCATGCGCAGGAATATAACGAAGGCCGATAGACGGAAGATGTTCAGTGGCATATACTCTTTATTAAAGGGGGAAATGACGACGCTATCAGTTTCTCTACTTGTTATAGGGTTTGTAAGCGAACAGCATGGATCCTGATCAGACTGCGTAGGCTGGTCTGGATCCATGCTGGTCGCAAACCCATTATGTTGGTTTTGTCATGACACGGCTCAATTTTGATTCTTTTATTTTTAGTTAGTTCATTATATAAAGATTATATGAAGATGCAGTGGTACATTCTTATACTAGTATTTGGTATTGGGATACAGCATGGTCAATGTCAAGATATATATGATCTCAAGAATCTCAAAGAACAACTTTTCGTAACAGATGGATATGATTCGAAACTCAGACCTGTCTACAACCAAACCAGTGCAATAGGTAGGAAAAGTTCGGCAAAGTTCTAGTGTGTTCTATTTTATTTTATGTTGATTTTTTAATGTATATATACACCTCTCGATAAAAAGGAGATATTACGTTATTTCACGTTATTTCATGTTTAAAGTGCTAATATGGGAGTCAATTAACTATAGTCACAGATTAAATGACTTTAAATTCGATGATAAATCAATTTATAGTGTTAAACTTTTAAAGATATAATTAAATATGTGACAAAAATATCTAACATGTGTTTACCGGATGGATATTTCTATCCGATCTGCAACGCATGACGGATATTATTCATCTTCAACGTCTTTATACTCATAATTATCATCATTATTATTTTATTATATACATGTATCTATACGTATATTTCCCTCGTAAAATATTATGTTTGCAGTATTTAATAAACCGAACGGATACAATGTATATTTTATGGAAGATAAATGGAATTTAGATTTAGTATTAGTTATATTTTAGGCCCTTTTGCAGGTTACCCCATTTATTCTTTTATTTATTTGATTTTTGATAGTCAGTATTAATTAAATCAAACCTCTTAAGTGCGGCGCGGCTAATTTATCTAATATGTACCAATATTCCGCTATCAATTTGGTCGTCATTATCATTATCATTGCCGTCATTATTATCATCTTCTGTTCTTTTTTGGCTTATTTATTCCAATATTAAAATGAATGCAAACATATTGTATAAAGATATTCTCTGGTGTTGCGTAAAACGAGCAATTTCTGGATAGAAAGTCACACGAACGCATGGTTTTTAATATTTACAAATGCATTGAATGGACATAACTTTGTAGTTATATAAATATTTGATATGCATTTTATTTTCAACCAACTGCTTTTAACATTTTCAATGGAAATCTTTTATTGTTTTCTATAATGATATTTAGATGTTTGGGTCCACCTGTACTTAGTGTCAATCCATGAGTTAAATGAGGCAACCGAGACGTTGAAGATATCAGCGTATCTGTGGATCACGTGGTATGATGAATTTTTGGTATGGAATTCTACCGCTTACGGCGGTATCGAACAATTATATATCCCACAGGTATATACATCATCATTAATAATATATCAAATATACATGTATCACATATTAGCATGCAAAGAGAGTTGATCGAAATCATAGAGAAATAACTTTCGCTATGAAATGACTTTGTTCATTTTAATTCGATGATAAGTTGATAAGTTAATTTTTAATATTCCATAAGGCCACATAGCCCATGAGGATATACTATGCATTTTATATGGCAAGACAGTATATAGCATAAATGTACAAAACAATTTAAACAGCGGAGAAGGTTTACAAATAATTAAATGTCTTTCTTATTAGTATATGACATCAGATATTCTTACCGAATTTCACTTGGGCATAAATTTAATTTTACAATGAGTCATTTTATCAGATAATTTTAGAACAAGATATCTACGGTTCTTTCAATCGAAATTATATCATGTTGGTCCGCATGTTAATTTCGAGGAAAATGTTACATTTACCCATGTGAAATTTCACAAACCGAAACTCTATTCTATAAGCATATTTAGGCTAAAGTATCTGATAATGACATGCAATATATAGCATAACAACTCAATCCATTACGTGAAAAGACGCAACAAACAAGGAACAATACACCGAATGCAATAGCTCCACATTGACGAGTTTTTGAAAAGGCCAGTCTTATTCGCATCTGCGTTGAAACTGAGGGTCGTGGGTTTAAATCCAAGTTAGGCTAATATTTTTCCTACTTTGGTGAACTAACTTTGAAAATAGACCCTCATTTAAGTAGATATTGAGCACTCAAACTTGACCATGGTCAAACAAGTGTATAAAACAACATTGTCTAAGCAGGGTTACATTTTCAATATATTAGGAATATTTTGTGTAGAAAGAATAATAAAGATGATCCAATATACAAGTCAATGTTTCTTTATTAATGAAACGTATAATAAACTTAAGTTCTGAAAAGTTTTCATAAATCCAAAACTGTGCGGTAAATTTTGGTCAAATTTTGCATAAGTGCGTCTTTTACAGTGTATAACTCAACAATGCTCTGTAGGAGCACATTTGTCTCGGAGCACATTTGTCTTACGTAAGACCGATGCGGTCGCATTTGTCCCACATAAGACAAATGGGACCTCAAATGTCTATCCCAAAATACTAATTTGTTTAACAAATGTGCTCCGATCAAGTTTTTTAAGGGACAAAAAGCACATTTGTCTTATGTGTTTTTCAGGGACAAAAAAGCACATTTGTCTCATGTCATTGTTTATCAAGTATTTGTCACATACTCCTCCTCGGCAGACATTCTTTTTTTGAATCGAGGTTCGCCGTTTTACCTCAAAGGTTTGCTTATGCTTTCTTTATGAAAACCTACAGTGAACTATTTATTATGATACCTCTAACCTGAAGGCGTACACTGAAGCATACTTAATCCCATTCACGATGGTAAAATGGTGACAGCGCGATGGTACGTTGATGAAAACGCGATGGTGCGATGGTACGAACGTGAAACAACGATTATACGGTGGCGAAACAACGAAGGCTCGATGATGAAAACGTGATGGTACTATGTTGAAAGACGATGTTACGATGGTGAAAATACGATGGTACGATATGATGAAACAGTGATGGCATGATGATAAAAACGCAATTTTATTTTCTCTATCGTGCCATCGCATCATCGTGATTTCAACATCGTGCCATCGTGTTTTAATCATCGTACCATCTCAATTTCACCTTTGTACCATTGTGCATAGCTTTTCAGGGAAACAAAAATATTACTTATGTCCAAACGGAACACCATAATCGGTTGATATTGAATTATACAATATCGTGACTCGTTTCTCGTCTCGCCGAAATCTCGCGTCTCGCTCCGCATCCAGTTCTTCGACGCGAGACAAAAATTGATTACAGGTCATATAATTAATAATCAAGCACCCTCACACCGATCGGAATGATCGGCTTTTATTATGAACAACTATAAAAGGCTCGAGAAGTTGCTGTCGCCCTTTCACAAAATCTGATTTCATTCCATAAAAAGGCGCCGCGCTTCGGCGCGGACGCCAATAACGCTAAGTAGTATTCCCTTTATTGTCTACATAAAAACACTTAAAGGCCCATTATGCCTGAGAAAAGCTTTTATTTTTATTCCTCAAAAGCTTTTATGTTTGGTATACTTTTTTAGCTCCAAAAAGTTACTCATAGGCTAATTAAATTACCTGAAGCATTTTTCATCTGATGCTTTTTTGCAGTTTGTACAGTTGAAGTAATTAAGAGTTTTGTATTGAAGTCAAAGTACTACATTGTTTACATTTTGCTATTTATGACGCATTATTTCACATTTATCGCGAATTTCTTTGGGTTACAAGCATCAAACTTCCTCAGAAATCATTATTTGAATATTAATAAATTCATACTTGTCCTATCTAAAGAAGTAAAAATTTATTTATTTTTGAAATCTCTTGGTACGGGATACTTCGACATTGCGAGATCTCGTGTTACAATATCGTGCCTCGCTTCGTGTCTCATCGGAATGTCGCGTCTCGCCCGATTCTGAGTGGCCCGATATTCCATTATTATAGCATAACCCGGATTATTTTAGGAACTCATGCATGTTGTAAGTGCCTTTTCAATGCTGAATCTGAAAGTCGCAATTCTTGGAAAATGACGACTTTTTATACATTTTTTTCTGATGTTAATGAAAAACGTGTGTAATGGTCTTCTTATTTTCCCCATGGATCGAAAAACCACTTTCCCCTTACCGTTGTAGGTTCCACACATACACGAGGCGTCGAACTATTCATGCGGAGATCCCGCTCAGGGTCCAAATGCGCAATACATATGCGCGTGCACAAGTATAATAGAGCTATCGCGTGCGCATGTAATAGTATCGCGTGGCCACGGAAAAGCTATCGTGTGCACACGTTATAAATAAGAAAATCTTATGTCCCCTTTATGCCACCGTAGATTCTACCTTGTTTTTGCTAAGAATATTTTTAGTGCCATAAATCATCCAAAAAACTTTAAGCATTGAAATAGACGTATCACAATTGATAACGATAAGAAAAGACTTGATACATATGTGTTTAGGTTCTGGATGCTGCAATTGTAGAAATTTTCATCGTGACATACAGAACAGGGATATTCTTTAATTTAATATATGACTCCTATTCAGAGGCAGGAAGTTTTTGACTGACCGGAAGTGACCAAAAACGGTATTATAGATACAGAAAACACAGAACAATGGCTGGTAGCCGGTATACAGATGAACATAATTATAAACTTTTAAGAGCTTTATGGAACAAAGGTGAGACAAATGTGCTTCGAGTGTCCTTTCTATTGTGTGTCGAACACATCTGTCTCACTTTCAATTTGTCGCAAATATGAATGTCTACGAACACATCGGTCACACTTCGTGGGACAAATGTGCTCCGAGACAAATGTGCTCCTACAATGCTCTTTCGCAATGGTCATTATGGGTATACTTTATTACAGTATTGAGTAAGATGTGTGTGAGAATTAGAGTAACTATTTCTTTAATGAGTTAGAGTCAGCCTCATTCTATGTAAATATTGAGGGTGAGGAATAGTTGCGAATAAACATCAATTTACGATTCCATTTAATTACGATGGAGATTTATTATACAAAGCAACTTTGTTGTCCTTGGAACCCAAGTGTTTAATACGACTAGGGCCACAAAATATCGTCATGTCAGTACTTAGTATTAGGAACATATTCCTAATACCGGCACTGCCATACTATGCTCATGTCTGGGTAAACTTATTTTATTTCAGAAATTTATTGAAATGTAGTTAATTCTTCCTGAATATGTCTAATTTGAATAAATGAATGTAAGAACTATGTTTGGGAAGCTGCATTCCCTACTATTTGTCAAATTGATTCGGTCTATTGTATCAGTTATAGAAACCGCCAGTTTTAATGACACTGTGTAATCATATTATATTGTAATTACCTGGAATATGTAGACTCTAAAACATAACATATTTTCTATGTGTGTATTCAGAACATGTTTATTTTACATTTCAAAAGGGACGGAATGTAAATGTCAGGGGTATTTGATATCAAGTTTGAGCATAAAAATATTTTTTCAAATAAAACTCAGCAAATGTAAATGCAACAACCTAGGTTGAACAGATTTACAGTTTACTCGATTTAAAAATTAGACAAAAACAATGGAACAACACTTTATTGTATTTAAATTGGCTATGTCTGTTTACTGAAATTTTAATTATTTAGCCGCGTCATGACAAAACAAACATAGTGCGTTTGCGACCAGCATGGATCTAGACCAGTCTGCGCATCCATGCAGTCTGATCAGGATCCATGCTGTTCGATATCAGTTTCCCTACTTGCTATAGGGTTTGTAAGCGAACAGCATGGATACTGATCAGACTGCGCGAATGCGCAGGCTGGTCTGGATCCATGCTGGTCGCAAACGCATTCTGTTGGTTTTGTCGTTAGGCGGCTCATAATCTATTATTATCTAGGGGGATGTATGGAAACCGGATGTGGCACTGCGAAACTCAGTCAAACAGTTCAAAGAACTTGGAGTAACGTCACTGAATGTGCATGTCGATACGGATGGCTTGGTCCAATGGTATCCTTTTGAGGTTAGTAACTTGTGTAAAGATAAATTGATAATGATGTGTATTTAAGAAGACAACGAAGGGAAAATGAATAATTTGTCACAATAGACTTAGCAGTATGTTCTATAAAGATAACTTTTTAAATGCATAATCTAGGATGAGCTTTAATAACTTAACATGTATCAATGTAAGCAGATGGGTAGATCGCTTATTCAACAGCAGTTTTATCATGTTATATGTTCATCTCCAGGTTTTTGAGACGTCTTGTTCTGTAGACATCACGTATTTTCCATTTGATACCCAGGAATGCATGATCATGTTTGTACCTTGGAGTTATGGTTCCAGCGATGTATGTACATTTCAGTTCTTTAATCTATCAACATATCTCAATATAAACATATGCTTATATTATACTAGCTTTCTTTGAAAATCTGATAATATCAAATTGTGACTTTGCCTCCCTTCTTTATGTCAGTGATTTGTTCAAATATAACCAGATAATATTTAAAGACATAAAGCGTCATGTAATATTTGTTCAGTCTAAATCAACAAAAAATAATATCCTTAGTAGTGCAAATAATTAGTCGTTTACATTTTATATTGATCATTGTGACATTTTACATTTTATATTATCAAGGCTTTTTTCAACGTCTGAACGGATTGTATCAAAAAGACGTAGCATAAATCAAATTTATATAAGTAAAGAATTTCATGTGAAAGTATGTGTAATCCACGAAAAAACTTTCATTTCATCACCAAACTAACAGTTAAAAGTATTTTTATATTGGTTGGAACGCTGATTTAAATTTCCATCACTGATGTTTCCATCTATTGTCAACCATATTGAAACCATACATGTTGACGGAATACAATTGGTAGACGAAATGTTTTTCCTCCTATGTTATAACTATACATTTACAACAAAAACAAATATGTTTATAAGTTGCATTAGGAATTTAGATTAAAAGATTAATTTTTAATCAGCAATGATAGAACAAAGAACAAAATATACGAGTATCATAAATCAAAATAAAACTAGTAAATAATCCGTTTAAACTGATTTTACTAATCAAGTGCAGCCGTATCACATTTGGATATCCTTGGTCAATATTGCACAGCCAATTTAATTTCAGTTTGCTGTAGCGTGTCTATGTTTCATTACTCTTTCATAGGATATTCAATTTCTTTCATATCATTATAATTAAAATGTTTAAATGCATTAGATCTAAATCGATGTCTGATATCAAATTGTTTGCTACACGTGTTTGCAGTGATCTGTTAAGACCTAACGTTACATGGAAATTTTTTTTTTTAAAATATCAGATTAATGAAGAAGAAACATGAAATAGGTAACGTTATAGGTCTTACGTTATTAGGGCTATATCCCTAGCTACTCTCTTTACACAAGTATCTTAAACAAATACTTTTACGCAATAAAAAGATTCTATAACACAATTTTTATGGTTTTATATCATAAATATAATGCTCAAATGAAGATTTATCAATAGTGAAAGTTCCAAAAAGCATTATTTATAAAGATATTACGGAATCTTACATTTCATGTAAATAAAGGGAGGTAATTAGAAATTTATTTTCTATAAAGTCTAAGATTTTTGTATTTTCTGATCGCAAGATCAGTAAATTCAAAGCTAACATGCACGGTCTAACACAAAATTTCCTAACAGACCTAACAACGCAAAGTAGTGCTCACTCAGAACTACTTAAAAACCAGCAATTTAAAAGAAAGAATAATTTTTAATGTAAGCATTTAACGAATTACAGAGCAATATAATTAGTCAATAGAAATATGAGTTTACAATCACAAATTTCGCGGATGAATATCTTTTTTACCCAATGAAAAATGGTCGGCTATTTCCGCAAAGCTTAATCAATGAAAATGCTATTTGTAGCTATGTCGGTTACCAAATACTCCAGAGCGTAGTACACAAATAAATCTGACTGTCAAGTAGTTGAATATATACACGTCCTATTGTTTTTTCGAGAAGATTTTCGCTAAATTATTTTCATCAGTGTTAAACAACAGCTTAATCGTGAACAAATATCTCGAAATTAGAAAAAAAATTACAAACACGAAATGGAAATTCTCAAATTAGAATTACGATGTATTTGTTTTTATTCAACCTACACATGTGTTACACATGCGCGGTCGTTTAGGATGTGTACAAGGAAGGTACAAATCGTAGTCAAGGCAACTTTTTTTTTTGAAATGTCTTTTTTAAGGAAGTAGCCACGATATGCAAGGATAAAGTGTGGCTGTCATAAAAAATGAAAAATGATTTTTTTGATGCAACTCGTCATGCAAAATTCCATAATTATGTATCAATCTCAAACTGTTATAAACGCAATCGCTGCGTAAGATTAATTATAGTATATAAAAATAAATTTATACAGGAAAATACATACAGATAGTCAGTATGATTTAGATTGCAAACATCAGAAAATACCACAGAGGTTGCAGCCCTTTGATTGTATTTTCTGATCGCAAGATCAGTAAATACAAAGCTAATATTCATGGTCTAACACAAAATTTCCTCACAGACCTAACAAAGCAAAGTAGTTCTCACTCAAAACTGCTTAAAAACTTGCAATTTAAAAGAAAGAATAATTTTTAATGTAGGCATTTAACGATTACAGTGCATAAAAAGTTTAGATAAGTCAATAGAAATATGAGGTTACAATCACAAATATCGCGGATTAATATCTTTTTACCCAATGAAAAATGTTCGACTATTTCCGTAAAGCTTAATCAATGAAAATGCATTTTTTTAGCTATGTCGATTACCGAATACTGCAGAGCGTAGTACACAAATAAATCTGACTGTCGAGCAATGGAATATATACACGTCGGACTGTTTTGGCGAGAAGATTTTCGCTAAATTATTTTCATGTTTAACAATAGTTTAGTTTAATAATATTTTATTGCAACTATATAATACATGTAAGATATGAATAACACACAAAGAAACAAAAACAAATGTACATATAAGTATAGTGCAAATGGGTTGGGCTACAAGTTATTACAACATTAGCAACAGCCCTTCCCACAAAGTCAAATTTTATAATACATATATTCCGGATAGTTTCATAAGAATAGTTACACAAGTGGAAGTGAGAAAAAAATCAAAAATCAAAACGCGCACACCGCACGCACGCACACACACACACACACACACACACACACACACACACACACACACACACACACACACACACACACACACACACACACACACGCACGCACGCACGCACGCACGCACACACACACACACACATGTATTTATATATTTCTTATAAATTATCAATTAAAAATGTTTAACAATAGGTTTATATGAACAAAATACCTCGAAATTGACAAGGATTACAAACACTAAATGGAAATTCACAATTTAGAATTATAATGTATTTGTTTTAATTCAAGCTACATAGGTATTACTTCAGTATGGTACAGAGATAGCGCATGAGAGGCCTAAGGTTCAAATCCTAGTCGAGGCAACATTTTTTAAGTGTCTTTTTTAAGGAAGTAGCCACGATATGCAAGGATAAAGTGTGTCTTTCATAAAAAAATGAAATATGATATTTTATGCAACTCTAGGCATGCAAAATTCCATATGTATTAATTTCAAATTGTTATAGAAAAAAATCTAAACGCAGTCGCTGCGTAAGATGAATTATAGTATATAAAAATAAACTTACACAGGAAAGATCAGAATATACCACAGAGCATGCAGCCCTTTGATTCAATAAGAAATGAATGCATATATTATAATGATTACATATAATATTGACAAATATTTACAGTACATATTTTACATATTTTTGATGTTTGAAAATTGTTTTATAAGCATAATTATAATTTTACATAATTATATAAGATTTCAGTTAAGTGTGGTAACAACCCCAATTACAACATAAAAGATCTTTAAGGGACCTTAAATGGCTGGTGAAAGGGGATTTATTCATTATTATTAAAGATTTTTGATATTAAGTCATTCACTAATTCACTTGATAAGTAAAAAGCTTGCAATTGTATATCTTTTATATATCCTTCAGGTTGCAATAAAGAGTGATGCGGATGGCATTGTTTTGCGTGATTACGAGGCAAACTCAGCCTGGGACGTCGTAAACACAGGTTACTATTTTACTTCCGCTTCTGGAGATTCCACCGTCGTATTCACCATCAAACTGAGAAGAAAACCACAAAACGTCCTTCTCTCAGTGATATTACCAATAATGATGTTGGCAATTCTTAACTTATTTGTATTTGTGTTACCTTGCGAGTGTGGCGAAAAGGCCAGCTATGCAATAACGGTCTTCTTGGCGTTTGCTGTATTTCTGACAATAGTTTCTGCATCTTTTCCCGAAAATTCTGAAACGGTTGCTATATTCTCCGTTTATCTTATCATCCAGACGCTACAGAGCACGATAATAACTTTGATTGCCTTGGCTCTTACCCGATTTCTTTCGTTTGATAGCCTAGGAACACCTGTTCCAAATATGTTACAAAAGCTGCTAAAGCTCCTAACCTTGCCAAGCTGTTGTAAGAAACCCTGCAAAGAGACTCAGGTTGAAGACATCAAGGTTGTTGAGGTTAAAGAGGGGCCAACAGGGAATGACGGTGAAGGGCAAGATGACGATGATAAACCTCAGTACAATACATGGAAACAAGCCGTTGATAAGCTGGATTTTGTATTCTTTTTATTCTTTACTTTTGTCCTTGTTATGTCAACTTTAATTCTCTTTGTCATAGCTGCCACACACAAAAATTAAAGACTCTAACACAGATCGATCAACATCGATCGAACACTTGTTATATGTCTGTACCACTTTGTATATGTGATTATTTTATATATTCAGACTACGACATAGACAACAAGACCAAAGTTATGATCAGGAAGATTAGCGTTCTGGAATGACCTTTCCTATGAAAACATATATCACCTGTTAACAATATACATTTATACAAAGTTTCTGCGTGTTCTGTAAAATAAGATAAGAACATTTCAACTATGATTAGTTTATAAGTTAAAGAATATTTTCTGAACTGTCAAACAACGGTCATCTATCACCCATTCTTAGTGAAAGTCTTGAATTGGTGTGTTTGAATTAGTGTCTCGAACGTTTTGCTTCAGTCAATAGATGCATTATACTAAACCTTACTTTCTGTAAAATATTTATTGTCAGAAAGGACACAAACTTTTACATGGGATGTGAAATCAAAGTCATGGAGGATCTCTTTTTTTCTTTTCTTTTTTTGTCAGGTCTGATTATGCATGGCTTGTTTGTTGTTGTTGTTTTTGTACATATTGAAAACAATTCTTTTGAATAAAAATGTTTGAATTTTAGTATATTATACATCTCGAAGTATTACTGAGTATATACAGGATATTTAGTAATAGGCTCCAATTTATATACTATGTTCAAGAAATGTTTATTTTAAGAACATATCATTTAAGCTACATTGTAATTGTTCAGCATTATAGCAAGTAGTACATGCGCCACTAGAGCCCCAAGACTGCACACGTGCGGCAGCACGACTGCACACATTTGCGGCGGCAAGACTGCACACGTGCAGCGGCCATCTTGTTTCCATATATAGTAATATATTTGCATATAAGCGATGCGAGTATCGGTACATGTGCGGCGGTTATTTTATTGACTTTTTTTTTCAATCTCCCATCGATGCACAGGTCCTAGATAAATTATTTATATGGTAAATGTGACATGAAATATACTTTTACCCGTTATTCCACACAAATGACCGCCATTTACATATAACGGAATAAGCGCACAAACGCAACAGTCATTTTGAGGTTCTAGTTTTAATATACAAATTTAATCTTTTAACATAGTCGGTATTTGGCCAAATGATATATATTCAAAGTAATATTGAATTCAAAAATATGTATCGGAGCTAATTCATAAAGAACGCAGCTGAAATCAGCTTTAAATTTAAACATTAATAAATGACACATTTTATATACCCGTAGGCTGTACAACTACCGTGATGTAGTAAGCCGTATTTTATAAGTACGTTAAAATCAAATATGCATATCTTATATCTATAACTAAAAATTTAAATGATGTTTAAACGATGTTAGCCTTTCTTAATCATTTTATATAAAAGGTACAAAAGAAAAGCACCCAAACTGCATAAATACAAGGAACATAGAAATCTTTTAAAAATGTCTTACCCAGGTTACTTTATTATTTTGATCATTTTAACAAAAGGACAATTTGGTATTGAAAATATTCAAGTACATGTAATATGTATATGTAAAAACAACAGACTTTTCTGTGTAGCAAATATATTTTAAAAAATGCAATTAAAAATACCTTTAAAACGATACAAAATAACTTACGCATATGCTAATGAAACCCGTTATTTTTTTTACACCAACAAGACATACATTTTTCGAACTAAAACAAATTAAGTTCTTTTAAATGGCTTACGCTTTGTGATGATTTCGCAGCTGACATTTAATAGCCGTCAATATATGTTAGAACAAAATGCATCAGTTAAATTCAAATGTATTAAAAATGTTATTAGAAGAAAGTTAAATTTAAAAATCTTATCTTCGTTAGTCCAGACGTTATAATGTCGCTTGTCAATTTTACACCAGGAAATAGACTTGAAAATTACGTTATCTTTAGTGGACGAGGGATGATCAAAAATTAACCGGACTTTGTATATGATTTTCTACCTGCATTACGGAATATTCACACATATCTTCACTTACGGGGCCCATATATAAGACCGAGTTGAGTGGCATTATTTCATGCAGTCAGTTTTTATATATGCCACTATATAGGCCTATAATGAACATTTCCATACAACAGAACTAAGGGGTACTAATTTATATATATAAACTATATATTTGATTTTACCATAGGTGAAAACATATTGACTAATAACATAAAACCCCATAATAAATATATACATTTGTGGGACATATATCATTTACTACTAAAACCGGTCTACGGGCACTATGTTAGAAGGGTAGCCTACGCCCCCATACATCGTTTTAAACATGCCAGAGTTGCGAGGCCTTATATATGCCCCACATTAAATATACACCCCACAAGTATGGTCTCAAATAGACCGATGCCCCGTAAATGGAGGAATGTGTTTGTATATATATATAAAAGAATAATTACATATAAAATTAAACACTGCGCCGGGTGTGCGTTACCATGTTTATAAATATGGACAAAACTATTCCTAATATAGCATTCGTTTACAGGTTTACAGGTATTGATTTTTGATTGAAATTTTTGATTATCCCTTGTATTAGGCCGTACCAATTTTTTTTTTACAAAAACTACGGAGAAACCTAATACTCGGTTAGAACTGCAAAGTTACTTTTTAAAGAACGCGGTACTTAGTTTATTGTCAATGTTGGCAGTAAGCATGGGTGTTCCATTCCGTGTGTATGACCGTATTGAGGTCGATTTTCAACGCAAGTGTTTGCAAAGAATGAATGAACTATTTAATGTATGGTATCCACGCGCAAAAGCAATAGGGCTAAAGAATGGATTGTTACCTGTACATATGCTGCTTCATGTAAAGTATACACACCCCCATTTTCTATATTCAATGCCTGTTTCTGATAAAATATGAAATAATTCGTTCACGAAAATGGACAACATTTTTCTAAAGTTATTGGACGTATTCACGGTGTACTGGAGACAAGAAGCTATATCTCTAAAGAGATCATTTTAAACTAAAACTGATAAAATAGACAATAATCAACACAAATATTTGTATTGTTATGCAACTGGCCAGACCACAAACGAGAACGAGACGACCTTGAAATACGTAAAACATGCAATTAAAGCCTTATTATTATTATTAGATATGGAGATGGATAACATTAGTCGTGGTTGAATAAAATCCCCAGTCTTCAGTGATACAAATAGGGGAAAGTCGAACCTATACCGGGTCCATCACGCGCTGATGGCAGGGGCGGTGGGGACGGCGGCGGCGGCGGGGACGGCGGCGGCGGTGGGGCGGCGGCGGGTGGTGTTGGTGTGCATCGTAAGAAGGATAACGGTTCCAATATATATGTCAAAAATTTTGTTGTACAATGAATCGGTGTCCTATTTGCCAGCAGTCTTTTTCAAGACGTGACGTCATGCTGAGGCATCAACGTTATATACATGGTAGTGATGACATTGTTAAAAGTGATTATTCATCGCAACAAATCACTCATGTGGACACTTCAGAAAAGATGAATTTTCATCACCCATTTTCTATGGTCGTTTCCGGGCCTAGTGGAAGTGGGAAAACTAAATGGACTAAAACACTGCTTTTAACCAGTCTAGTAAATCCACCACCAGAGCGCATCGTATGGTGTTATTGACAATGGCAGCCTCTGTGCGATGAACTTCAGCGTAAAAATAGCCTGGATAGAATTTGTACGAGGTATTCCCGACTACTTAAATAGTCCAAAGTTCATCAATACCCATAAAAGGAACTTGATTGTTTTTGACGATTTAATGACAGAAGCCAAATGCGATCAAAGAATTGCTTATCTTTTTACCAAGGGTAGTCATCACAAAAACATATCTATCATGTATCACACTCAAAACTTATTCCCTCAAGGAAAAGCCTGCAGAGATATCGCTTTAAATACGCAGTACCTGATATTGTTTAATAATCCTATTGACAGACAGCAAGTGGCAACGCTAGCGAGAAGAATTTACCCCACCTCAAGTTTCATCTTTATGAAACGGTTCGAACAGGCAACATCAAAACCACATGGCTATTTAGTTATAGACCTGAAATCGAGTACTCCGGAGCAAGATCGTTTACGCGATAACATTTTTGACTTTAACACTATTAAGAAGAGAAAACTAACGGATGATGATTATAGCTACTTAGAGGCGATAGACACTCGTCTAACGATAATGATGAAAATGCTACTGCTACCGTTGTAGATGATGATGATAATGGTGATGATGATGATGATGATGATAGAGATTCTCAGAACGAAAAAATTAAGAAAAGTCTTCTATACCGTGGACCCCCAAGCAAACGTGGAAGGGAGGAGCTCAAAGAAGAACGCATGCGTCTTAACATATGGGAAAAACGGTTTAAAGAACCAATTAGACAATCACATGTGGAGCTATTTAAAACTAAAGTACAGGCGTATATAGATAATGGCCATAATTTTGAAGAGGCTTACCATCGCGCTGCTAATGACGAATTACCTCAATTAAAAAGAGGCTTAGACAAAAGTACGGTCAATTTCTAATAGACTTTTACGAGTTGCAAGAAGATCCTAATCAACAACAGATTCTCCAGTCGGCTAAGAAACTCAGACGTGAATACGATATAAGTTTCAAGGAATCTATTCGACAAGCCATTATGTAACGTAAAGAGCTTTTCGATACAGTATGGCCCGATCATAACATCAAAGAAAAGGATCCAATGCAGGGTAACAATGATAACGATAACGATCAAGACGAGGAAGAAACGTTGTAAGAAGGATTGCCATTTATATGTTTTCAATCACACAGTGGGTTCTATAGAAGTGTACGATCATAAACAGCAAAAATCGGTACCGTATATTTCAGATCCAGAGAAACGGTATCAACATTTCAAAGATATAAGGGACGGGTACGCTGAACGTGATTTTCTAGGTCGTTACATCGTAGGCAGTGGTGCTAAGCATAGAAAAATGGCCGAAATGGAAAAACGTGAAAACACACCCAATGTTCATCTAGTGACACCTGTAGCTCAAGCCGTTGAAATGGCCAAGTCAGAATTGAAGCGTTTACAAAAGGAAAGTAATGCAAAGCAACAAATGGTAGATACCAATACTCCAATACGTAAAAAACATCGTGCAACAAAAGCGCCTTATAACTGGAACAAATTTAAGTT